ACCCACACCCAACCACACCCATACCCGCACCCCACACCCCACACCCACATCCCACACCCACATCTCACACTCACACCCACACCCTTCGAAATTCACTTTATTATTTAAATGGGTCATATTAACTCGACTCTCAGTTCCTCTCTATTCGGAGTCCTTCATGAGGAAGAAAAGTGAGGATTTAATCATCGAAGTCGCCATAGCGTATAAAGTACCTATTATACTTATGAAAGTTCAATTTTTATTGCGTTCTTGATGACCTTTCAAACTATACCTCTGCAACGAACTAATATTTTCCCATAGTGTTTGTCGGAAATGGAAATCTGTTACTAGGTCTTTACAAGGAACTCCTTCGCTCGTAGATTGCTGAGTAAGCTAAGTAGTGCCATATAGACCAGCAGTTAATGCAATCTGCCAGATTCGTTTTCAACATAATTCTGGCCTACTTGTAAATTCCTAAAAATGAAATATAATGAAGCTCACCATCGCTTATGCATACAAAAAAGGGTCAATATTCTACTCAGAACGAGCAAGTCGCCATATAAATTTTCTGACAGAATCGTGGTACAAGCCATTAGTTCAGGAAACAAAACATGCCAGCCATTGCTGTTCACCTGTACAGCAATGATCACAGCACATTGTTTCCTTTGTGAAACCAGTTCATGAGTCAGTTCTCTAAAAAGCATCATTTACACACAACAATCCTGATACGTTAATCTGAAAGCTGATATTCCCGAAAAAGTGCTACAATCAATCTGAATTGTGTTAATAGAAAAAATCCATTTGCACAAGCACATACGAAAGCTCGGCATCAAGGACACGATAGGACGGCGTCATGAAAACATGCATGAAGTACTGGGCGTTGCGACGTACAATATAGCCACCAACTAAAAAGATCCGTAGCCGACTCTAACTCATCTACTATATATCAGATGACCTGTACAGGGTGATCAGTTTATTTTCAAACGATTTTCGTAGACTTATTCTTCCTCAGCAACTGATTCAGATCTGATGAATCTCATATCAATGTATCCCACAAAGACTGTACATACTGCTCTAATAATCAGATTTTGTATAGAAGAATGTTTTGTGATAAAACACTAGATAATTTTGAAAAGGTCATTTTAACATTTTTGAGAACAAGCATATTTGCAGGTGCCACCAGAAATGAACTTTTTCGATTATTTCTCCATACTATCGTCTTTTGACCTCAGACAAATATCACAGGTGCAGCCACTATTAGTGCATGTATGCTAAGAGTTTCAGCAATAAAGAACGAGAATTCATAGAGAAATCAGGAAGTTTTTCAAATATATAGTTCAAGCGAAACACATTGCAAGGCTTATTCTGTTACTATTTCTGGTTTAATTCAAAACTTTACAAGATGGTTATAGACGCCTGACCTACTCTCACGTGTAGATAATTCTAAAATACAGTTAACTGCTGTTTCAGACTTTAAATTAAACTAGAAATGGTAACAGGATAAGCCTTGCCATATGTTTAGCTTCAACTATATATTTGAAACACTTACTGATTTCTCTATGAATTCTCGTTCTTTATTGTTGAAACTTTTAGCATAGATGCACTAATAGTGGATGTACCTGTGACATATGTCTGAGGTCAAAAGATGATAGTATGGAGGAATAATACGAAATGTTCATTTTAAAAAACTTGAAAATGACCTCTTCAAAATTATCTAGTGTTTTATCACAAAACATTCTTCTATACAAAATCTGATTATTAGAGCAGTATGTACAGTCTTTGTGGGATACATTGATATGAGATTCATCAGATCTGAATCAGTTGCTGAGGAAGAATAAGTCTACGAAAATCGTTCGAAAATAAACTGATCACCCTGTATGTGCTTTTTCGCGTGCTTGCATCTCTCGCGGCACCCACACTTGGTGTGGCGCCTTCTGCTTGTGTGTGGATCCGCAGATGCTGATTCTTATGTTAAAGATAATATTGAGAAATGTTTTATGATATCTTGATTGACTGAATTAGCTCGATTGACAGCTGTCATTTCTTACTTGCTATGCCTCCATTCTCTCCTGTGAGAGAATTACTTCGTCTATCTCAGTCCTCACAAACGGAAAGAAGCTTCTGAATATTGCAATGACTTCTTGGGAATCGTGAAAAATACTTGAATAGTTGTATATGTTTACTTCAATTATTCGAACAAATGAACAGTTGAATCGTTGGATTCAAGTATCCAATTATTCAATGATTGAATCGTTGAATTCAAGTATCCAATTATTCAATGATTGAATAGTTGGATTCAAGTATCCAATTATTCAATGATTGGATCGTTGAATTCAAGTATCCAATTATTCAATGATTGAATAGTTGGATTCAAGTATCCAATTATTCAATGATTAAATAGTTGAATTCATCTTTCAGGCTTGACATATGTGCATAAATACAGAATCAATAGGACGTTTTTTTCATTTGAAAAGAAGAAAGGCTACGAGTAAGTATCATATAGTCAATAGACATATTTTCATTTTATTCAATATTCTCTAAAGAACATTTAAACATGGGTTTATTTTTTGTGAAACTCACGTATATTTTTGAAGAAAATAGTGAGTGCAAGTTTAAATGCGAGAGTTTTGTGCCTTCCTCTTCTCACTACAGATATACCCATTACAGATATACCCAATACAGATATACCCATTACAGATATACCCATTACAGACGTACCCATCATTACAGACAAGCCCCCATTATAGACAGGCTAGTGTGGGTGTGGGGTGTGGGTGTGACGTGTGGATGTGGGTATGGATCTTGCAATGACTATCTACACTCACACCCACACCCCACACTGACACCCACACCCACACCCACACCCCAC